TATATATATATATATATGCATATATAGTGGAATTTGAATTTGAGGAATTGAAAATTTAGACTGTTTTAGAACATAAACAATTCAATGAACTGAAAAGTATTCCGGACATGACGTTTCACTCCTGCAATGTTCTTTAAGAAAATATGTAGCCATTCAAATTTTAGTTGTATGTAGTGGACGCTTGCGGATTGGGGGTACGTTAAACATGGCTTTATCGGATTTTTGTTTGTGAACAAGTGTTTCTTAGCGAAAGCAGCCCGGTTTGTTGTGCATTTTTATTGTTGAAAACCATTTCAAGTAAAGCAAAAAAACGACTTACATTCTGGAGGCTCTTAGAATGTACTGCACTGCATGGAAATCCGGGAATATAATGCTGGTAATGGCGACTCATGTCTGCACTGCGCAAATACGTTTGCGAACAACAGCTTACTTCTTGGGACAACTTTTGAAATACGAATCAAAACGCAAACTGCTCGGTTTTCAAATATGAATTTTTGCGACCTAATTTAGGTTCTGCCAAACCCCTAGCCCAGGCTGTATTATTTCCAAATTTATTAGTACTTCCACAGAACTTCTTTTTTTAACACATATCCCAGGAGAAGGTGAGTTCGAAAATAAAATTTCTTAAAAAATGTAAAATTTTTCAAGTTCCAAGTTATTGGAAAAAACCAATACCACAAGAAGGAACAGCAATTCAATATTCTTAACTCCATTAATTCCATTAACGAAAAAACTAATTGCCGTACGCAAAGCTTGAGGGAATCGCCCGACAGCATCTTCTTCAAGTTTTCATATAGACACCAGGCAGTAAAGGCGGTCTTAGCGACCTATGCCTCACATATAAAAAAAAAGAAGTAATTTAATTCAATTTTATTATAGAGAAAGATGTACACGAAAGAAAACATTCCTTTGTATTTTATATGACGTATAGTTTTTAGAGCGTTCGCGCCAGTTCCTTTATGTACTAGTTCGTAAAAACTTTTTTATCTTCTACCTGATGATCTTCCTCTACCGCGGCTACGAGGTCCACCACGTCCGCGGGTTCCCCTACCTCTTCCTCTAGTTCCGACTCGACTGGTATCTTTCTTTTTGGATTTGGATTTCGGAGTATCATCAATAAGTAGCGTTTCCAACGGTAAACTATCTGGTAAAATGAAGTATCTTATATTATTTCCCCTTATGCTAAGGGTCTCCAGTTGCACTGGATCTCTATTTTTTATGGTCATCTTTACGGATTTCAGATGAGTGTTCATAGCAATGTCTACTCCAGTGATTGTTCCATGAATTTGAGTTCCATTTTTAAGTTCAATGGTAACAGTTTCATGACTAAGCTTCATTAAGAATCTAAAATAAGAATAATAATAAGTATAGGAGCATATAATAACAAGCCAGATTTTATTACACAAATTTTTCCCAAAACACTTGTGTATATATGTACTTAATTCGGAACCTTGGATAAGCTGCTACAAATTGTAACAGCTTTTGACGTTTTATAGATTTTAGACGTGGAAAATACAATTGGGAAACTTTCACTTCAATTGCTAAATAAATGAATTTGTTCCGCGTACACCGGCATGCATTGATATTATTGCAAAAAAACACCAATTAGCTTACATTCAATTTAACCAAAATTAGTAAACTTTTCTATAAAGGACAATAATTTTCAAGGGATTTAAAGGATGAGTGTATGAATGTATTTTTCAAGTAGCAATTAGACAAATTATATTTCAAAATTTTTATTGACAATTTATGCTTTAAACATACATTTGTAAAGTCTTTGAGAGCCCCAAACAAAGCAATCTTCGCGGGTATTTCTAAATACACAATAATTTTATTATGCTGAAGACATAAGACATTTAAAATAAAGTAAATCTTAACATATAAAACTTAAATTACCTCACAAGCTTCATTTTAATTTTACAAAAATTAAGCGCTTCCAGAAAAATCGGTACTGCAATGCAAATTATTATGCCAGTAAATGTGAGCCGGCCTGTAGTATTGCCATCATTAGAAATTTTAATTAATATTTTAGAAATCACAGTAGTCGCTGTATATTGCGCCTTCGAAGCAACGAAATACAGTTCTACTGAAAATCGATAGTAAAGCTTTCAGCAGATATCTTCTATAAAAGTTCTCAAAGTTTTTTAGGTATATACTTTATTGGCTCTACTCTATATCAAATTTTTTAAGGAAAATTCTTGTACATGAAACAATAAACAAGTGAAAACTCTGAAGCAAAAAGAAAAATGAGTACATTTCTTTGTCTCAAGCGAATGAAACAAAAGGGCCAAATAGACTTGTTTTCGCGTAATTTTCCGTTTAAAGTGGAACCTTATGATCTCTTATACTGTAGTTCAAATTTTTAATATTATTGTGTTAACTATTTGTTAGCTATGCAAGTAAAATTTTCGTAACATTTTCCTACTAATAAATAAATCAACACTTAAAGTGGAACCTTATGATCTCTTATACTGTAGTTCAAATTTTTAATATTATTGTGTTAACTATTTGTTAGCTATGCAAGTAAAATTTTCGTAACATTTTCCTACTAATAAATAAATCAACACTTAAAGTGTTTGCAGTAAAAGATAGCAATTTCAACGTGAAAATAACAAATTTAGATATACGAAAACGTTATATCTGAGGAACTTGTTCGCAATTTGTAAACGAAGCAATATTGTTTGGTGTAAAGGGCTGCTATTTAATTGAAGTAAATAAATTTTTACGTGGTTAAGTTAATATAAAAGTCACTAAGTGTCTGATCCCTGCAATTAATTGAAAACTACCATTAATGTTTCATATTACTACATGAATTCCACGAATTCCACTATAAAATTTGAAAATCATAATATTTTTGCAATATATTAAAGATTAACTTCTTCATTTTTAAACCATTTTAATTTTACGCATAGCATACTAGCATTGCATTCTAGCAAATTTTTATTGATGAAAATCAATTTGAAAAAATAAGAAAATTGTTGTCAAAATTCTATGTAAATGAGCGAGGAATAAACAAAATTGCGCCCTTGATATAATAAGTAATGATTTATATTCAATCTACTAAACGCGTAATCGAACTTCTGTGAATGTAAGAACAAGAACAATTGAAAAAACGTGAGAGGAAATAAGTCGGCAGTTGCCTATAGGAAATTTTGGTGAATATTTGTAAAATTAATATATCCTTTATTTCTCAATTGTGTTCGCTAAGATGGATGGAAGAAGGGTCACAACTTTACAGGTATTTAAATGTGTGAAATAAGTAAAAATACATAAGTTTTTACGAAATATTTTTCAATTCAAGGGTCTTTTAAAGTTTGCTATCGAACAGGGACAATGCCAGGACAGTGGCGGCGGCACATACGATGAAATGGATCACGAAGTAAGTGATTGTTAATGTTCCATTTATTGGTTGAGTTTTCGTTTACTTTGTAGTGGGTTCGCTTTCACTGTAAGATGTCGCCGTTGATTTTTGTTGTAGAGTCTTGCAACTTTTATTTTTCTGTTTTTTCATATGTCACGTATGTCCTACGAAGCTTTTTAATTCAAAATACATTGTTCAATGGAACAGCAATAACAAGGGATATTGCAATTTAAAATTTGTCTTCCGGAAACCTGCAAACCTGCGTTAATGTCAGCAATATTCAAGTGTAGAAACTTTATATCAATATGGAGACTCTTTATATTTATTCTTTTAAAAAGTTTTGACGAATGATATTTTAAAAATTAACTTGTTTCTTTATTGTAGAGGAAAGCTTTTCTTGAAAACGCCTTTAAATCAATGACAATAGATGTAATGGAAGAGCTTTCGCAAGCAATTAGTGTTCTTGAAGATAATTCCACTTCAAATGCGCAAAAGTCGAACGCGCTTAACCTAATACGTGATCACATTGATAACATCGACTTTGCGAACAGCTTTGTTAAACTTGGAGGAACAAACATTTTAATAGAATGTTTAAAAAGTCATGATGAAAATGTTCGTATCGCTGCCATAAATATTGTTGCTGAAATGTCCCAGAATAATGCGTTTTGTCAAAAACATTTTCTGGAACATAATATATTAAAGTTGTTGATAACATATTTAAATGATAATGAAGACTTGGTTTCAAGTTCGCTGTATGCGATATCTGCGCTAGTAAGAGGTTTTGAACCGGGAGCGGCGGAACTGATAGCAATTGGCGGATTGGAATTAGTAGTTAATTGTTTGAATACTTCCTTCACCAGAGCGTTTATAAAGGCTTGCTTTTTAATCTCAACATTATCAACTGAATATATGCTCGTCCGAGGTGAGTCAACAAATAAATCGAAATTATATGTACAAAGCAAACTCATCCATTGAATTTATTAAGTTTATGTAATGTACAATTTTCTCCAGATAACATATTTCTAAACAACAATAGACGTCCTAACACCTTTGATTTGAACTTTTTCACTTCAATTATTTTGCGGTGCTAAATTTTTTTGCGAAATAATCCGAAAGGGCAAAGGCAGTCTATTCCATTAAACATAGGGACTAGTGCCTGCGGGCTGGATTCAAAATCTTTTGGTTACGGTCATATGGTCTTTGACGGCTAGAGCAACTGGAAGAAGATGTCAAATAGACTGATTTTTAATCGGTTTATATAAGAAAGTTATATTCGCTTTAGAAGCCATCACTACAATAGTGGCTACATTTTTTGTTATTTATGGGTATAAAGACGAATTGAATCGATATGCTTTTTTGTTGTCCGATCCAATATCTCTATCAAGTAAGGTATTATGAATTTGAAAAACTGCAATTTATGACGTACCAAATATTGATCTAAAACTTGGCATAGATAACTGGGTAAATGCACTGTCGACCGTCGCTTTCTTTTTTTCGCAAAGTACTTTAAAATTTGTTTGCATTAGTTTAAGGAAGTGAGTACCGAACACTTTTCAAAGGTGAACACAACTTACAATGTCGGTTTTTAAATAAAGCATAAAGAAATTCTTTCATTTATACGCACAACTTGATGTTGTCTTCTAGGTTCTAGCATAGATTATACAGTGATTTTTTTGCTTTTAGATGAATTCGTTAAGTTGGGAGCATTTGAAAAATTGGCAAATTTTTTAGAAGTTATAACAGATTTCGACGTTAAAATGGAAGCTCTGTTAAGAGCGATGGCCGAGTTGTCGCAAAGTAAAAAATTTAAACCTGATGAAGAACTTAAAGGCCACATTATTAAAACTTTGCACGATATTATTAGCCAAAACGAAAAACTTCCACAATGCGAGGTGAGAGGGTATATTACGTTTATTAAGAAATAAAATTCATATTAGTTTTGTTGCAGGAAATTGTGGAATACTCAAACACCCTGCTAGATAAGTTAATATAAAAACCTATTGGTTTTGTTGCTAACAATGCGTAGAATAGTTTAGTAATTGAATAAATATTTTATACAAATCAAACACTATGGAATGGAAACATTATATATTACGTCTTTTTCATTTCGCACATATCACATAGGGGACTTCTTCACATTTTCCCGTTAGCTCCATGCTAAAAACGGCAAATACTACAACTGTCCCGGCCGACTGCAATTAACAGAGGCACACTGCTCTGTCAGTGCCGGTAGTTGAGATGATGACAATATAACAAAGTTGTCAAAGTTGTAAATGAATCGTACACACATATATACCTACCTATATTATATGTATTATCAATTATTTAAAGTTAGATTGAAATTTGCGTCTCATATAAAAATCAAAGTATATTTAAGTTATTAAATAAAAGTTAGTTATTAATCGGGCATAGGCCGAATATAGGCTTTTTCTTTGCCTCGGTTTTGGCTTGCTTAGCTTGTAGTTCTTCTTTTGTTTGAATTAATAAATAACATTTTGATAAAAAATTAATTATTATTACAAAATATAACTTCATAAATATAAATGGAGTGTATAGGCGCTCGTTCCTAAAGAGTGTTCTAAAGAAACTTTGAAAACAATAACGGAATTGTGTATTATAACAATAAATAATTTTCAAACGAATATATTCGTTCTTAATTGATGTTAACTTTGTGGCAAAACTTGGAATTTTTGAATGATTATATTACGTTGTGTACAATGGTACAGCGTGTACAAATGAGAAAATTTAATATACATGGTAATGGAAAATTCGAATCAGCTTGTTTCAAAATTCAACAAAGTTGGCGAACGTTTATTTTAAATAATTTAAAAATTAATATTTTACTTGGAAGGCCTGGAACCGCGGTTCTTTGCCAAATACTGCTAATAAAAAATACAATCAAAAACTTACACGGGTTGTGACGACAAACGTCCTTTAGCTATATATAACAGAATTGAATCTATTTCTCTTCTTCTTAATGTTAGTGTTGGTATGTTTACATAACATTTGCACGTAGATCGTGTTAAGAATTGTTTATAATTTATAAATTTTTAATGATAAAAATATTTAATTTATATTTATATATTTGTTGTTTTGGCTTTCAGTTATTAGTTTTTAATGCGCGTCAGCCCTTTCGGGTTTTCTTTAGTCCTCTTGAGTGTTTTTGTAGCACGTTTTTCGGAATGACATGAGCTTGTAACGTTCATTTTGTAAAGCTTGTTCTAATTCCAAGACTTTCACATGAATTTCCATTTCTCTTGTTTTCATTTGAGAGGGCGTCAGCTGCGTCAATTCTAATTCATTAAAATTATCTAATTGAATGTTTCCATCCTTAACGGCCGCTACTACGGATCCTGTTGCTTGAGATACATCACGTGAAGCTTTAGTCAGCTCGACTAATTTTTGACTGTTCTTATCGGCCTTCACTTTGCTTGCTATCACGAGTTGAGCGGTACTAGCGGCGATTTCTTGCGCTGCCACAATTATTTCGAAATTGTTGCTTGATTCCGTGGTAAAGAATTTATTTGCCGATTCGACTAAAAAGTTGGCTCCTTTTGCAATATTTTTTGAAGCGGAAATTAAACCCTCTGCCCACTGGCTATTACGTTTATAAAACTCTTTTGCTGGAAAATGTCCTGAAATATATATCCATATATATATACATATCATAACCATGTAGTTAATAATATTGAAGATACTTCTTTAAGCTAATATAAAAGATTGCTATAATAAGTGGGGAAATGAGAAAAGAGAACCGAAACTTATTGATACGTGTTAGTGTGTTTTGTTGCATCAAATAGGAAAACAGGATTCTTCCAAAAAATATAAAAATAAATAGCGAAAGAAAGCACATAACAGAAAAGAAGTCATAAAAAACCTAAATGGGTTTGAGAATTTAGTTATACAAAATTCCAAATATTTTTGAGATAGAGTATTCAATTTATGCAAATACAAATTAAACGATAAATAAATCAACATCTATTCTCTAAGCTATTTGAAAAAAAATCGTAATTAAAAGTAATAATCTTAAGTAATTTCCTCATTCAACAAATTTTCCTCCTCCAGCGGACAAACACATATGTTAAGATTATATTAAATATATGCATTTCTATTAAATGGATTTTTTTAAATATACGAAAAATTTTTAATCGTTATATTTATACATACCCTTTCCCTGCGCAACGATTTCCTCTTGCAGGAGGCGAGACTTTTTAATTAAGATTTTAATTGATTTCATCAAAGACGTACATGAATCTAAGATTTTATCATGTACTTCCAATTTAATGCCATTATTTGATGACTTCGAATCAGAATAAATTTCTATTATTTTGTTCGTCGCCTCTTCAATTATCTGATCCATAGCTTTCAATTCCATTTGAAGCATATATTCCAGATTATGACCTTCAGGCGATATATTAATCAGCGAAAGCATTAGCTCTTGCATTGCTTTTAATTTAGCACTTGGTATAGATTCGATGGTGTCTTGTAAAATCTTTGGATCTCTTTTATTTGATAATATTTGATATACAGGCTTTAAAGAATCTCGGAACTCATTACAATTTCGCAGAATATCTAAAAGTTTCAAGTTCAAATTAAAATTTATCATTATTTTATTAAATCTTTACGCTCAAACACTCTTTGGCTCAAACACTTTTATGTTCGTCATAACGAAAGGAAAAACCATATGTGCTTACCTTCTGCTTTCACCAAATCGGATGTATTATTAGAAATATATACGACACATGTATGAAGCGTTGTTATAGTATGCATAAGGTTTAAGCATGTTGAAATAAGTCCATTTATTTCATTAGGGCTGTTAGAATATCTTGAATATTCGGCGCTTAACTGTCGCAACAATCGTTGGAGTTGTTTAATATTTTCCAATGCTTTTTCTGCAGTTAATTCCGAATCGACTAAACAATCTAAAATCTTGAATGTCTCTTTCATCATTGAAGATACCGCCTCGGATAGTAGATGTTCGGCTTCATTTTTTTTCCGCTTTAACTCGTCGATTTCTTTTTTTGCTTTTTCTAATTCTTCATTTAGAGATAAAACGTTCTCATCTAGATTATGCAATCTTTTATCTAACTCATATTTTTCATTGGTTATGCTGTGAATTGTTGAATTCATACTCTGCAATAAGAGAACATTCACATTTATTACGATTTCATTTTCCTTATATACATTAAAAAAGTAAATAAACCAAATTACGGACACTTGGGCTGTCACAACGATTGCGTAAGCGTTTCTTAGATTCAATATCTCCAAATTTTGCTATCTCTTAATGAAAATATAAGATCATTACTTTAGTATTGATCTATGCCAATTCTGCGGAGGATATGTTATGGAAAACTCCCTAAATGTTCTCTTGAATAAGCATAGAATTTGACATATAAAAAATAATATCCGCGTAAAAAGATAAAAATTGAAAATTGTACGTCGCCGCAGGGTATTAAGCAGTTTCCCTGCATCAGTTTCGCTAGTCGTAACACGTTTTCTACATATATTAGGTGCATGCAAAAACTTTGATCAGCGACTTCTACAGGTGAAAATGATAAAGACACGGGAAATGCCAGTGTACATAACGGTTGAATTCGAGGGTGTTGAACTTCCTCTACATAAAATAACAGTTTCCCATTTAATACCATTGATTTATTCAGCGTACACCGAGGCGAATCGCGGAGCGCTTCTTCCTCCTTCTTCCTCCAAAATCAGTACTTTTGCTGTTTATTTGAAGAAATCTGCTGGCGAAGCTCAGCAGACATATTGAGAGGCTTGTGGCGATGCTGCTCGATCATATCTCAATTGTCGGTTTTGGGTTCAACGTGGCGACACGAAGTGACTGAAAATCTCATTTTTTGACCACTTGTTACAAGAGAATAAATGCTTTTTCCCAGTAAAAAAAATGCTCAAAATATTTGCAACATGTAGCACGGCTTGCACATGACATGAATGTAATAGTGATATATTTGCAAATCGAAATTTTTCGTTGCTTTTGCTGAAAAACATAGGTTACTTACTACCTGTTAAGCTAAGTTGTTGGTTAATTTTTTCCGTCTAACGCTATAATTAACTAAGAAAGTCTTCCGAAACCTTAGCTTTTCTGCTTTTCTCTTTTTTTGGTGGGTGCCTCAAAAATGAAGATATGAGTGATTAAGTTAAGGGATTAGCAAGCTTAAGTTAATCGCTAGTGTGAAATTTGAACAGTTCTTCCGTCAATGTTTTTCAATATTGTGAACGCAATCAAAAAGTTGTTTTCACTGTTTCACTATTCGTGAAATATTGAGAAGGAAGAATTAAAATAAAAAAAAAAAAACTCACTGTTATCTTCGCTTCACAATGCGCCTTTTCTTCTAGAAGAGCCGCATATTTAAGTTCCTTTAAATTTACATCATCGTTAAGTTTTCTTGATAGCTCAGTTTCGCAATCGTTTTTCTTTAATAGTTCTTGGTACTTTACTGCGTGGGCATCGCATTCACTTTTCAGTTCTTTAAACGCGTCTTTTTTTTGAGTTATTTCAGTTTTCAATTTTGTTATTTCTAAATTTTTATCCGCAAGTTGATTTTCGCATTCCATTGTTTTCATGTTTAGCATTTTCTGCATTTCTTCAATTTTAAATTTCGATTCCTTTACATCCATTTCCAGACATGCTTTTGACTCTTTTTCCGAATGTAATGTCCTCTTCTCTTCGCTTTGCTAAAATTAAGAGAAACCAACAGAACAAATTTACTAGCTATGAACTCATCTTAAAAGTTCCCTACTTCGATACGTAGTCTTTTATTAAATTGCGAATACATCTCCAATAATTAATTTAACATTGTGCTATATATAGATCAGATTATTATAATATGTTTTATTACGGCACTTCATTTCATTTGTGTGACTGCTCAGTTCAGACTGCCGTAAAATAAATCGGAAAGTAACATGTTCATTCTTTTAGAATGATAGATCATGTGCAAGTGATGATGAGCACGCGTTAGTAAATACAACAGGTATCATAGCTAACTTCTTTCAGGTACCGTTCTTACGCCCAACACTTGCTTGAAATCTTATATGCCGAAATCGTTCGTAACTTGATTCTTTCTCGAGGGGCTTAATCCATTCGTTGTAGACAGCTATGGTTGTCATAGTGGTCAAATATGTAATTTTGTCAACAGGCACAGTGGACAATGGATCCGTAGGCATAATTGTTAACACGTCCTTTTGAAAACAGACAAATTATTGGTAATTTCAAAGATTCTCATTTGATATTATTAGCTCGCTATAGGGAAGCTCAAGCCTTAACAAGTCTCAAGTCACGATCGGCAAATGAACTCACTCTTAGCATGTTTGAAACTAAAAAATTCTATATAATAATAATTTAAGTTTACTTGACTTATGAACTAAATATAACATAGTCGCTACAAATATGAGCGCAGCTACAAAAATGCATCTAGCTTATAATTTCAGAACTTTACTCACCATTCTTAGCAGATTTACGTGTTCCTCCCTTAATTTTGCATACATTAATTTAATTTTCTCAAATTTCTCTTCCATAGATTTTGTTTTTTCTTCCCATTCTCTGGTTTCACCTACAAAGTTATGTTTACCGGTTAGAAGCGCATGTATATTATACATAGGTATCATTATCTCTAATGCATACATGAGGCCGGTCATGCAAATTTTTGTCGTGTTTAGGAAAGGATTTGCAATTTGCATCTAATGAATGAATTATAGCAGAGAAAATACCTACTGAAATTCTGGAACTCGAATTTTTAAGATAACCCTACTGCAATAAAAGAAAAACAAAAAACCAAGAAAAAAAAAAAAAATAAGGGAAATATTATAATCAACTAACTTCTCTGACGGTCAGGACTGGCGATTACAAAATCTGCTTTCTTTTAAAAGATTCGATTTCGATTGCAAAATCTGGGTACCCATCCAATTCAAAAATTTCTTAATAGAATCTTGACAGATTTCCTTAGCATTAATCAAATGGACGCATTTATTGATTCTGTGCAGAAAAAGCATTAATTGGGAGAGCCTTATAAAAGATATTTGTTTTAAAGGCGATGTGTGGACGTCGTCCAAATTCTTTCATGTAAATACTTTCATTTTGTTCTTCTCTTATTCTGAAACTGTACACCAGAATAGCTGATTATGTAAAAGAGGTTCTAAAGAATGGGTTAGTAGATTAATATTTTCCTCGCTTTTATTTATGCATAGCCTTATCGGATTTAATGCGGCTTTTCCGCTTTTTTTAATTACTTATGTCATGTCGGTGGCGATGATTATTAACAGTCTCATCTAATTGTAAAAGCAACACTTCTTCGTTAAGCAATTTATTCTTAAAAAAATTCCTTTTCAAAACAGTTTTTTTCAATTCATAACGTCAAAAAGTTCCTACAAAGGTTCTCTTCTTATGCGAGCTATTACATTGTTGAATGCCATCTTTGATCTAAAATCGTTGAAAAATCAAATATATGGAGGTTTAAAATCTGGCTCCAATAAAAAATGGCATACATATTAGCTTATATGTACATGAAAATAACTTGACATTACCTATCGGAAAAGATCCGTATAATTATTTGCTGTGACATGACGTACCCTAACGTACAGTCCCAATTTTACTTTCGCTGAAGTGACAACATTTGTTATATACATATATATGTATGTATTATTGAACTTACTTCGAAAGCCTGAAGCCTCCTTTAATTGCGTCTCCAAATTTTCGTTACTGATCATGACTTCAAGGAACTTTTCCTTGATCGTTGACAGTTCGCTTTCGAGTGAACGGTTTCTTAAATTCAATTCGGATATTTTGCTAATCAATTTAGCTTCATTTTTTAATTGGTTTTCCTTTTCGAGCAGCTCTTCTTGCAATCTCTTTATAATATTGTCTCTTTGGCTTAAATCCGGGTTTTCAATAGGCGTCAAGTTATCGACTAAATTTTCAGCAGGTTCCTCTTGATCTTGTTTCACATACACCTTAGGCGCTACATAATTGCCCAGATCTATTTGGGATAAGAAATTTGGCGCATTTTCAGGCAGTGATGGCACCTGAATTACGTCCGCGAAATACTGAAGTGGTCTGACGTTGTCATAAAAGTATTTAATTTTTGAAAAAAGATCATTGAATCGATCTCGATGACCGGTGAGAACATCGCTTGGCAAACCGTTATGTAATTTGAACATCAAACGCACTGATATGTCGTACAGTGGGTTCGAGTCCTGAATAAGAGTTATTAAAGGAGCTAGACGACATTGGCCCTGCGGTGTCATCGATGACATTCGAAATATATTCACCGAAGCAAAAATTTTCGATTGCACATCAATTATATGATCCAAATAATCGAAAACTTCTACGCAAAGTTGAAAGCTAAAAGTAAACATATATATGTATAAATGATTTCATGCTAATTTAGTCTTTACAATGCAGATCTTACTAAACGTTTCTGTCATCCTCGGCAAATTTTTCAACTTCGTTAAATTCAAGAAGCAAGGAGCCAGGAAATATTGCGTTTTTTTCATGAAATTCTAATTTATTTACAACAAGTTTTGTATACGATTCAATGCAAGTTCCCACACCATCCTGTAGATGACCCCACAATTTTCCGACCTCAAGTATTAATGCTTTGTGAGTTAGCGATTGCTTTAAACATATGGGATGGCCTTCTCGCATGACTTTATGTAGCATGTGACAAAACTTCCAAGCGGTGAATCGATGTTCCATCAAAGGTTGCCGTGTAATTATTGACCAGACCGATTTTACTTCTTTTGTACGGTAGGTGGCTATAATGATATTACGTGCATGCTTCATTTTGAGCGGAGTTTCGGTAGGATTTAAAGCTTTCGTAATGCTGACAACCTACAATAATAGAGAAAATCATATATTTAACCACTGTTAATTCAGCATATTCGTGTATAATTTGAACACCTTAACTCATTGCCTCGCATCAGGACTAAAAGAGAAGGCAAGGAGGATATCTTACGTTCCCCCTATTTTTCGTTGAGTTAAAATTTATAAAAAACATGAGTCGAAATTATTCTACTGTCATTTTTTTACATTATTATTAATAAATTAGAGGAAAATAATAAAAAATCCAATAATCCCTTTCATGAAGGATATAGAAGACTCGGCCTTAGGTGGATATAATTTTGTTAGTTGAACTAGTCTTTTCTATTCATAATTTGAAATTTTACCAGCATTTCTCAGTTTTCTCCGATTACACCATTAATAACTACCTCGAACTCTCTGAGTACAGCCCATGGACTTAGCCCTCATTGGGAACATTTTAATAGACGAAGAGCCACATTTGCCAATTTTCAATGCATTTATATTTGGCTTTGTGCTGTTGTCGTAAATAATAAGAAAAGACTTCTAGAAGACTATGCTCGCTTTGGCGTAGAATATGTAAAGCAATACTGAATCTTTCCACTCTATCACCAGCAGCAAGCTATTCAGTTCTTGTTTATGTATGGTTTTTGTGTTAAATTACCTTTGTTTGGTTTTTAGATACATTATTCTCAGTGTGTCATGTTAAGCGTGAAAAATTCTGTACACATCAAATATGGTCTCTTGCTTAATTTTAGCTTCATATTTATTCAATGACAAGGCGTTATCAATAGAGTCAGCTACCTTTGGCGTAAACTAACTCCTTTTTTGCGTTTCGGTACCATTTTAATAAAAATTAAATGTTTACACCATAACTACTTGGACATATCCAGGTTTATATTGGTCGCTACCTACGTCTGAATGTATCTTTATTTGGAAAAATATGAAGGAAAAAATCGCATAGTGTTTGAGGCAGGTGTGAAATGGAAATCAATTAGCATATGTATGAAGAATTGAATTTTTACACAAAAACCAAAACATGTAGATACAATGCTTACCAGGTTATTAGAATCTTTGTCCATTTTGATATATAAAAAAAAATCTGTGTTGGAGCGGCACGACAACGATTAAGCATTCAATTTATTTGTTAATCATACACTCTATACACTCTTATCTTATCGTAAAAACTTGCACCAGAATTTGGTATAAATAAAATTATTGATAGACGAATATTACTGTTTACGAACGTGCTGTTTTGGTTTAGAAATTAAACCAGCGCCAGTGTTACCATATCGTTGTTTGCAACACATCGTAGAGATGGAGATTCATGCACCGATCATCGAAAGAAAAAAATTATATCTAATGATGTGTGAAAAATTTACTGAAGAAGCATATCTTTTGCTTAAAGCTTTCTTTGAAGAGAAAGTGAAATCATTAAAAGTTGATGATTAGTAAAGTTATATGAATTTTTTAAATTTTTTTCAGCGAAATAGGGATTTATTTAAGAAATAAAATATTTTTGTAAGTGGGAAAAAGTCAAAGAACAAATTTTAAATATTATGCTACCTAAGAAAAATTGTTACTCACCACCGCACAATAGGAGAGATGCATAATCATTATATATCAGCTTAGCGTTGTTATCTAGAACCAAGCCAAAATATCTCGACAGACGTGCCGGTCCTTTCATAAAACGGTATTCAAGCTACCCGCATCTAAACAAGAGTCCAGGCCTTATCGCAATCGGTAGTTTAATTCGGTTATGAGATAATCTTCATCATGGTATTGGCATATTATCAGCAACTTTGTAAAACACCTTTACGTAAGCACCCACAGATAAGATACAAATAGTTATAGCAAAATTTGCCCTTCGCCTGACTAATACATAAATTAACTTGCCGCTGCGAATTTATAAGCGGCAATTGATATTCTGTAAACCACATTAGCATAAGGAGCGATAAGGATTTTAAATTGATAAACAAAGAAAAATTAGTTTACGTACAAAATTGTACAATGGCAATCGTTATACGCGACAACAAATCCAGATAATCTCGTCTCAAAGGAAACAATATTTTCCAAAGTTAATTTAATTTTTTTTTAAACGCATAAGCATATGCATCTTAAACTTATACTTATTTAATAATACGTATATATATATAATATTGTGGAATAACAAAATGTTTTAAAGACGAAATGATATGGAAATTAAGAAAAAGAATTGATATTTAGTAATCATACATACACAAAAGTGAGACCTAATAAAAGCGTTATTGATTTCATATTTCACATAGGAATGAAATGAAAACAAAAAATGTCCAATACCTGCAGAATTCATGGTTCTATCTTTTGAAAAAAACGGTAACTTGCCATTACATGTAAAGTAACAATAAACTAATAATTCACTTTTTAAAGGTTTTCATGGCGCCAGCTTCTGATCAGTATCTGTATCAGAGATACCTATTCTTCACTCCAAAGAACATTGTGTTTCTATATACATAAAAATGCAACCACGGGATATGTAACTTTTATCAACACAAAAGGTAATGAAATTTTTCCTTATGGACATATTTTACTTGAATTTTTTTCTCCAAAAATATACCTGAAGTTATCTGTCGATATTAAAATCTGTAAATTAAATGTAAGCAGAATTATGGAAAATGAAATGTAATAAGCGAGAAATAAGAATAAAATCTAGTTGGCTAATATTTGATCTATAGTTTGAAGAATGGGAGAACAGTAGACCTTCCGCAAAAACAACTAGAGTTGTTTTGTCACAAACTTTCAAAAAGAAATTGCCAAGCTAGGATACGATACGCTGCTGGGTACTACTCTAAAAATAGTGTGTTTGCTTCATTCCTAATGATTTTTCCCCACATTTATTTTAAAATGGCGTCGCCTTTGATCAGCTGATTTATTCGCCTGTGTACGGTGATTCATCACTGTAGAAAAGAACTTTGTCGTACATATTTAAATAACCGAGAATAGTTTATTTATTTATATTTAGCGTGGGTACAATTTTTTGTTTAAATACAGGTAAGCGAGATTTTGCCCGTAATGTCTTCTAAATATTTAAATTGCGACAGTAAGAAGTTCAATTGTTTTATTAAAGTGTTTAAGTTTTTTCAAACATACGCAGGATATTTATTTATGAGTGTGTAACCAATAACATAGTCAAATCTTTCCCTGCATACTTTTCTAATGATTATATATATTATAGAATTGCAGCATTTATCATCAGGCGAAAGTTATTTTATTGTAGTTTGTGCGAGTGTGTGTATATATTTGTTGTAATATGCATTTTATGCACGAAAATGTTTTTTTTTTCTTCGTTTTAAAGTGCAAACAGAACCATTAAAACAAAGTAAAATTCTAAGATATCTTAGCAGGCGAATATAAATATATATAAAAAATCTATAAATATAAAGTACTCGTATATTAAAGAGAAAAAGTAAACAGCTGTCTCTATAAGTGTAAAAAGCATTAAGTCCTTACTTAATCGTTAAAGTTTTTTCATAAATTATTTGAGTTCCAAAAGTTCCGGTTAAGCGAGTAGATTTTATCTGCTATTTGAATATTCTGTGTTAAATATCATCAAATATATATTTAAGTATTTTAATAATTGGGATCATGTAAGTCCTTATATACCTGTCCCTAGCCATGTAAATTAGAGAGTATCGTGTAGCATAATTTTATTATTGTTTGTGTGTAGATTATACCGATTATGCATTCTATGATGAATTCTAATATGCATTATATTAGCAGAAGCTGCCTGTTTGTAAAAAATCAATGTTTTCTTGTAGTTAGCTGGAGATACAGTGTTACCTTCATTATTAGATTCACTTTTTTATACTAATTTTGCATTTAACAGTTTAGTGGTATTAGTTCCATCGTTAAGTTTGTCCACTCTTTTTTTTCTTTAATGATGAAGATGATCATTTTAAGTGTTCTATGTAGTTGCACTTTCTACTTTTTTTTTCTTTCGGTGATATTTTTAGGGCATCAAGTAAAAGTATGGACGTGAGCAGTGAGACCGGCATTTCCATGCTGGTTAGTAAACAGAAAACGACATGGGAAAAATTATATAAAAAACGTTTTCTTTTTCTAGATAGAGACGGCTGTGCTTCACTTATGTTAATTCTCAATTTCGTTTCTCTTGCAAAATATCTTAAAAGAGTGGAGTTTGATCTGATCTGTGGCAAAAGTGTTCACTTAATTACTTGAGAAGACTACAATAAAATAAAATTAAAATTCATTCCATACCCATTAGTGATGTTCTAATAAAAGACTAAGAAAGTAGTAAGTGCAAACTCTTCTTACTTAATTCTTATTAAGATGGGACTTTTTGATTTTAGAAGCTTTTGCCTGCCAATGTCTCGAGGAATCAAAATGCCCCGTCTTTTCCATGTACTTTTAATCTTTATTTCTTCAAATCTATAACTTTCATTATGACAAATTTAAAAATAAGTTTTTTGTGAAGAGTAACACGATTTTTAATTCACTTTTTTACAAAAAAACTGTCAAATGCCCAAAATGTCGAAAGAAGAGTATCTGTTAAAGTAGTGTAAAGAGTATGTAGCAAACCGATTTTCATTTTCTGTCAAGACGTAAAACAGTTCTATTGGATACCTATTAACTATTTGGATACCTACATGTCTGCTTAACTCATACTATGCTGTGCTTCTTCTTTTTAACATGTGGAATCATTGATTAGATATTAATCATAGCGTTTGTATATTCTTGATACACGTAAGATCTTAAATTTAATCTATTTTTTTAATGTTTGCTTTAGGGACGTTTGCCGCAATAAGAAAGTATGTACCTCCTTCTGTCGTTTGCTCTTTCAAAACTCATGATCCCGCAATTGAAATAGTAAACTAAAAGCGGATGTATACTTTCGAAGTTGGTTGCTGCGGGCATGACCCATCTGATTCGCCCACAAACAAATAAACAAAATTGATCTATAAATAGGGGTACAATCGCGTAATTCATAATCTAAAGTAGATATTCATGTAAAACTCAATTTAAATTAATTTATCAGAGTTAAACTGACGACTCAGTAGAAAATTTTTTACATATACGGCTAAGATGTTGTGGGTATTTTTCTTTTTTCAAAATGTTTGCAATACTCGGAAAGAAGTTGTAGAGACGCTATAGTGTACATATCTACATTCCTGATTAACATTAAATTCTAAATCTGAATTCTGGGTTCGTCGACTTGTCTGGGTGTCTTCCCAAAAAAAAAGCATTGTAAATGATTGCTCGCAGGTTGGTTTTGAAAACGAAACAAACTTGATTAAAGGACCTGCCCACCATACTGTGGGAACAAAGAAAATTGTATTTTTTTTTTGCTATTATAATAATTTTCACGTACGTTATACAGTGTGGGTATATAAATCGGAGAAATCGGCCAAGAGTAAGGTACATGTGGGAGGTGTAGAAGATTCGGCCGCACTCGTATATAATTTTCCTACTTACTTAACCATAAGCTTAAATTTGGTGAGTATATCAGATTCGGCTACAGCCGAAAATAACTTTATATAACGTTAGTCGTCATACAACAAGAGTCGTCATAGAACAAGAACGTAGGAACCTTAAGTTAAATGCTTACACACATGATAAATCTTTAAAAATTAAATAGTGTCTTGCTACTTGCGGACAGATCTGAACATTTTTATTAATTGAAAGCCATCGTTTTTTCAAGGCCACAAGCGAAACTATATATCAAATAAAGTTCTGTTGATGATTGTATGTTACAGTTGTTTGCCTCGTGTGAGCCATTTTGGTCATGACCTGTGCTTACGAGCCCCAGTGTTTCATTTCAATTTTTCTGCCATTCAATACACTAACAATGACAACAATTTACGAACGAATGGACGGAGAAATATACCTAAATTGATGCAGAAGCTTACCCTGATCAAGAACATATCATCCTTATGATTCCTTTAAGTATTTCAGTATAAGTCGATGATTCGGTGGTACTGGTTGGAGAAAAGTTATGTAAATGCATCTTTATGGCTATGGTTTATTTTTGAAACTTTCCGTAAAAAGTTTATTGTTTGAAAGCAAATTAGGACTGAATGACGACTTTGCATCCACTCCAACTGCGCTATATTCAAAAAATTCAACATTCTTTGATGACATTATAATATTATCGTATTGATCAAACATTTTGTGGGCCTGTGTCTGAAACTAATATGCAAGAAATGAAAAAAAAGAATTGTTTGACGCAATCATTGTATGTGGGCAAAGTTTCATTAATTTTGAGTTCATTTTTACTCAGTAAACTTCTCTCCTCTTCTCTCCTCTCTTCCTTGCTAAAAGTCCAATTTCAAGAATTTAATGTTTTTGGAGCTACGATGCATCAATCGTATATTAAAGAAATTTCCTTCATTTTTCCCTATAAAAGTGATGTCGCTTTCTTGCTAATCGCAGAATATGGAAATTCCAAAGGATAACAAAAAGGATTGGGATAAGTTGAAAATAAATTGTTTCTCGTTAATCTCTTCGAATATATACGATAAGTAAGCTACTTGATGTGTATAACTACAGCGGAGAAGTATTAACGTCTGCTTATTTAAAGCTGGCTAAAGTTACCGTAAATTTATTACATCATATGAGGCCTGCGCATTGCATATGTTGGCTCCATATTGATTTTTTTTGTTTGTACAACGTTTCGGGATGAAAGTTTGTGAATAGTCGCTTTTAAGAAAACCTATTGTCATGATTGTTTCCAAAGCAATTAACAATTATAGGATGTAAGTTGTTGGATAAATATTTGAAAAATAATTTACAAGGAATCTTCTCTTAGTGAATATTAATTATTATGAGAAAAGATGCATTTGCAATAAATTAATATTGCAAGTGTAAATTTTTGTATGATGTCATCGCGGCGCTTACTTTCTAAACCAGTAAATATATATCAACTTGTGTTTAAGTAATGGTTTTGAAAAAAAAAAAAAAAAAAAAAAGAATTAAGTACGTGAGTGCGTCCTGTTCGTTTGGAGTCCTCATAAGTTTCTTCATATTGTGCGGTGTAATGTATACGATTTATTAACATTATATACATGCGCGTTCCTTCGGTACAAATTAGAAATATTGGTCTCCTAGGAAATTATTTTTTTTTTACTTTGTTTTTTACATTTTATTTACTCCTTGCTTCCGTTAGCATGAAAACACGTCTGCATAATGATGGGAAAATATGCGTGTAAATCTTGGCAATCATTTTAAATAAATTAATGACAATGGATCGATCACAAATTTCCTTTCTACAAATATATATGCAAAAAGGAAAGGAAAAAAATTTTTTTTTAAAACCACTTTTTAGGAAGACATACTCACATACCCTTATTTCATCATAATACATAAGCATATCGACACTTGGCTTTACAAATCATATTTATTTTCGTTTCGCTGTCCTGCAATCGCAAAAAAAGCACCGGTTTATTGCTACTGACTAAGTTAGGAAGTTTAATTTATCTAATACCACACGGAATACCACAAAAGAGAACAGAAAATTCGAAATCTTTTCATGGTTCTATGAATCGTAATCAATGAGGAAAACATTTGAGATTTGGTTTTGCCTACAAACTATTTGCCTGAAACTTGGCACATATTCCCGAGAGGGCTAATTAAAAGCAGGAAGGACGAAAGCAGCCGAAAAATAATTCCGTCACATGAAAAAAAAATTTTTTGTTTTTTTAAATTATCGCATGCACAGTTCAGTAAGCTTAGTAGAGGCATGCTAAGTTCGTCTTAGGGCAAATCTTTGAAACGCACCACCACATCAAACAATTACATTGCAAAGTGAAAAGGCAGACTTTCGAATCAACCGAGACTAGTATTATGCACTGAGTGTTATCTCATAATCTGCTGTGAAGTACAAGCTACAGTTCTTTGGCTATTGTGGCCTGTAGAGGAGGATAGAGAATAGCGTTCATTTGTAAACCAGACGTATAATGTTTATTTTTTACCGATTAATTACCGAGTTCGCCGGTCCAAGCGTGCAAATAGTTAAAAAAATTAAATTTAAAATTGAGCTGAAAAAAATAAAACTAAAAATAATTTCGTTTTTATTTTTTTGACTCGAGATTTTGGTTAATTTTCATTACTTTCTTAGCGAAGACATAATAAAATGTTTGCAATAGTTTAACAATTATTAATAAAAGCTAATGAGAGCATCATTAATCAATTTGATATTTTGACTTAATCGATATATATTGTGATTTATAATACAAATATCTCACGCTCAGATGTCGTCAGCAAAGTAGAGACATTTATTCCTTGTCTTCATTTTTGAATATTTTTCTTTTAGTAAAAAAATTGAAAAAATCGGCAAAATGACACAGATGACTCAAGATGAGATCATAAGCAACACAAAAACAGTTCTACAGGGACTAGAAGCTCTTCGTGTTGAACATGCATCTCTAATTACTAGTATGGGGGATGCGCATAAAGATGATGAAAAGTCTTATATTATTAAGAAGAATATTGAACACATTGAATTGGGTTTAAGTGAAGCACAAGTTATGATGGCTTTGGCCTCCCATCTGCAAAACGTAGAGGCTGAGAAACAGAAACTCAAGACGCAAGTTCGGCGTCTACATCAAGAAAACGCCTGGTTACGAGATGAATTAGCAAATACACAGCAAAAATTTCAAGCTTCGGAACAATTAGTTGCTCAACTCGAAGAAGAGAAAAAACATTTGGAATTTATGTCATCGATTAAAAAATATGATGAGAATCAGGAACATGAAGACGTTAGCGAAAAGCCAAGACCTGATCCTGTTGTCGAGCTATTTCCAGATGAAGAGAATGAAGATCGAAACAATATTTCTCCAACTCCACCAAGTCAATTCTCCAATCAATCTTCCGGTTATGAGATCCCAGCACGATTGAGAACTCTTCATAATTTAGTTATTCAATACGCCTCACAAGGAAGGTAATGTCCACATGACTACTCTTTTTCATTGTTTTTAATTAAAAGTTTTTTTTTTTTTAATTCCATCCACTGTACAATACCTACCCATTTATGTATTTTAATTACTTTTTTAATTTTGTTAAAACGGATGACAAACCGTGTAATTGGACATAGATTTTTTATTATTACATGCGTCGAGCTTGAATATCTGAAACGATCTTCCAGCCGTTAAGGCATAAAGACAAATTGGCCATAAAGTTCATACTCAATGATATCTTATACTTATGTCTAGGTATCACAAATGACAATATCAAAGTTCTATTGACAGTGATATTTCTCTTAAGTTCAGTTTTAAAATAATACAATTATTTTATGATTATTTTTCTTTGCGATCATTTAGATATGAAGTTGCTGTTCCTCTCTGCAAGCAAGCTCTTGAAGATCTCGAAAAGACTAGTGGTCATGATCATCCAGATGTAGCCACAATGTTAAATATATTGGCTTTGGTATACAGAGATCAGGTAATTAGTTGCGTGACATTACCCAGCGTTGTCGAGTTTTTTTTTAAAATGGATCAAGCTTCTGAAAGCTTGCTCCTTCACAGGTATTAATAACACTTTGTAGTCAATCAAAATCCGTCCGAAATGCATGAAAACGTATCGTTAATTAAGATAAAACAATTTTGAAAATAATACGTAAAAAGTCCCTGAGATGTCCCTGAATAGATAATATATGTAATAATTATTTGTCATGATCAGTATTTTTAATAACATTTCGAAATTAACTCATTGCAGAATAAGTATAAGGAAGCCGCTAATTTACTTAACGATGCTTTATCAATTCGAGTAAAAACTTTGGGTGAGAATCATCCTGCTGTGGCAGCAACTTTAAATAATTTGGCAGTTTTGTATGGTAAACGGGGCAAATATAAAGATGCCGAACCGTTGTGTAAACGAGCGTTAGAGATTCGGGAAAAAGTGCTTGGAAAGGATCATCCAGATGTTGCAAAGCAATTAAACAATTTGGCATTGCTCTGCCAAAATCAAGGCAAATACGACGAAGTTGAAAAATATTATCAAAAGGCATTGGAAATTTATGAATCTAAACTTGGCCCTGACGATCCAAATGTTGCCAAAACGAAAAATAACTTGGCAAGCTGTTACTTGAAACAAGGAAAATACACAGAAGCAGAAATTTTATATAAACAGGTCCTAACAAGAGCTCACGAGCGGGAATTTGGAGCCATTGACAGCAAGAATAAACCCATTTGGCAGGTAAATTGAAACTTGCTTAAAAAAGTTTTGCATTTAGAAAAATTGCCGATGAATCATCGAATGTTAACAAAATGTCAAATGCGTACGCATAACATTACTAGCACTACTGCACTAGCAGTTTAACCTCAGTTGAAGGTAAAAGCATTTTTAGCTGAATACGACTCGTGGGATATATAAAAATAGAAGACTTTTTTTTTTGGCAATTATTCAGTTCATAATTTTATGAGTAGCCCAGGTTTGTTTTGTCTGTATTGTCAAAAAAAAAAAAAAAAAAAAAAAAAAAACAGGAAAAAGTTGCCCAAGGATTTTTAATTAAAGTATTATTTATCGTTCATTGTTTACGAGTGGGGACATTTATTGCTTGCCTTCAGTAGATAATAAGGCATCGAAGCAATATCTGATGAGTAAATCTTCACGAGTCCCAGCAGCACTATCCTTCGACTCAAAAAGTGACAGTAATGCTTTTCCCAATTGGCTTTTTTTTGTCACAGACATCGACAAAATTCGAGAAATCCATGTTTTTTATACTTCTGCTGAATAATTAGACAAGTTGCGTAAGCCTTAAAGATGGTATTGTGAGTTGTCTGACTTGCCTTATGAGTAGAGTCCGTATTAAGACAATGAAATGCCCATGTATCCCACACGTAGACGTCTATAGGCTATAAGTGCTACTGAATTTTATCCTAAAACTACCGAGTGTGTCAAATTAATCCTTTTCAAAGCTAGAAAAGCTTGAAAAAAGTGGCTATAAATTATGTAATGTTTTTAAATTGGTTGATTGACTTTTATTTATATGAAAAGATCTTTAAATAAGTATAGGCTAAGTTTTCTACAAGATTTCGAAGATGTTCATCCATTTTTACTAAAGGGAGCCAATTTCGCCCGATTAGCGCGTATACTTCGTTGAATTGAATGTGTTTCTGTTACAAACACCTTTTGCGCTTGTTTCACTTATTGGAATTGCGTGACTTCTTTATCTATTATGGGACGCGGGAGAGGAACAGATCATATTTACTTAATCTTAGGTTTTCTAACTAATCAAGAAACGTTCGTGCCGAAATTTATCTTCCTATGTTCATCTTTGCCTTAAGTAAAAATAGGTTCATGCAAAACATTGGTGATTCTAATGACATTAACATGACCATTATATTTTAATGGTATATATATTTTTTTTTGTTTTATGATCACATCAAAGTATAAAAATAATTTAATTAATGGGGGAAAGAGAGCAGGCGCGAGTGAGAGTGTGAGAGAGAGTCAGAGGAAGAAAGAAGAAGAAGAATATTATAAGAGTAATGTATTTAAAAAAGTACAATTTATTTAATTATCTAATCCATGATAATTGCATTATTTGTTTTCTCATTTTGCGTTAGGTGGCTGAAGAAAGAGAGGAACATAAGCATGATAATAGGGAAAATACACCATACGGAGAGTATGGTGGATGGCATAAAGCCGCTAAAGTTGACTCTCCAACCGTAACTACAACCCTAAAAAATTTGGGAGCATTATACCGCAGACAAGGAATGTTCGAAGCCGCTGAAACCCTAGAAGATTGTGCCTTACGTAGTAAAAAGGAGGCGTTGGACTTGGCCAAGCAAGCCAAAGTGACTCAGTTATTGAATAGCAGCGATAAAAGAAGATCCAGATATTTTAAAGAGGAGGCTGACCATCCTGAAGAGGTTATTATATTTATATATATATATTTCAACGCAAAAATTAAACTTATTTAATTTATTTTTTTTTTTCAAACATTCCACTTACAGAAATAATACAAGTGTCTGAATGTAATTATCATTAATCACAGATGTCGCAGATGTATCATGTTATTACGTATTTTTTTTAATATCTGGCCGACTTGCATGTATGTATACTCATTCCACACAACCTTTATAAAATGCTTTTAAAATACCAAAATAAAAGTCAGTTATTATACTAAAGGATTCCATTTGTTTTCATTGCCTCCGTCTCTTAAGCAAGTATAAGCCAGTTGGCCAGTGTGCGACGCTGAAATTTTCTTTGGTTGTGCCAAGCAATGGAAAGTAGAAAGCAAATTAAAATCGAGCATTCTTTCGAATTAGGCTCTTTTTCGTTTCAAATTAGTCTTCTGACGAGAACACATAGCTTAAAATTGATTGTGATGGCTGCATGGTATCGTCATGAAAAAGAATGTTTTCGATATAGATTGTTTTATGGAGCAAATGACCATGTTCGTAAGGTAAGTGTCCTATCATCAGGATCATTCAATTTGATATTAGGCCCTCCTATCGAGACTAAGCCAAACTTTCTATCTCCGTTAACCTGCCTAGCGAGGCATTGATTTAGTTGAAATAGCTTAACACTTTAATGTAGAAATGTCTGTCTTTATGATGCTGATTCCCGAATGAAGTATACATTTATATACATTTCTTATTATTGAGTGATACAAAGTATGCTAAATAGATATTGTGAATATAATCGATGAACTTGAGATTTTTAGTATAACATTTAATATCTGGCAGTGTTTTTGTTCGAAAGTCTACTGTCAAGCTACCAGTTATTGCTTCATTGTAGTTTAAGGTTAGATTCAGTATGATGACATTTCTTTTGATGGCTTCTGACTTCTTCTCTTTTTTTTTCTTTTAACAATAAGAGATTGCAAGGTTTTCCCGAAGTACATCAGAGTTCTCGTGCTAGAAAATCGTTATTGTTTCTTTTTTGTTAACAATTTCGGCAACGTATATACTCGTACGTAGTAAGAATTGATGCAAATTTTTTGTATTTTTGGTTGGTTTTAGGATTTATAACGATCAAATTTCCATTATCACAGAAGGTTTCATCGCTGTCATAGTAAACAGATGAGATTGTTTTTGAAATTTCTTCTTGTAAAGCGATTAACTTCGCTAATCTAAACCTGTCAAAGAAATTTTTTTTTTTGTACAAAAATTAGTTGCGAATCACTTTCACTGTAATTTTGTTACACGACTTCAACACACATCCAAATCTAATTAGATACTAACTCAATCACATCAGTTGTTAATGTGCAGAAATCGGTACAGACTGAATCTGTTGTGTGCAGTTTGATTAATTAGCGTCCAAAAAAAAAACTTGCTATGAAAACTTTTGTTTAAATTGCATTTATCAAGTCATATATTATAGAAGTAAAAAGCAGATTTAAAAAAAAGCAAGTAAAAGTGGGCTACGGACTTTGCCTTAATACATTTATGCAAATAACGACTTTTTAAAGTAAGTCGTTACATAAGAAGTGGTCGAAATAGTGGTCCGATCCGAAGCATGTTCACTAGTCGGCGTACCAAATTCCTTTAAAATGCGTCAAAAATTGCGAACTTACGGTTGAAGTCAAGAATGCAAGACGAACAGATGGACAGGCAAACCTAGATCGATTCAAAAAATGATTCAGATGAGGTTACTCGTTAGAGGTTCACGTAAAGGAAAACGTTTTTGCTTGCTTTGAAAATAGTTAATTGACTAACTAAATTACATTTCAATAAAAATTGATAAAAAAAAAGAAAAACATTCTAGTCCTGACAGTTTGTGAGTCATGTTGTTGCCAAATTTTTCCATATCTTCTTGATATACATTTCATCCGTAGACTAGCTATTGTAGATATTGAGGCAAAATAATTCGCAAAATTTGATAATGTAAAATAATTCAAGAAAGTTAAAATTCTGGGATGAGTGAGTATCTTAGGGCACGTTAAGATTTTTAGTCAATATCTTTTAATTTTTAGTCAATATCAAAACAGTTCCTTTTTTATTTTTGAACTCAAGACCACATATTTTCCATCCATCCATCCGACCGATGGTCGCACATACTCCGCTTGACTATGCTTTGTCGTTTAAAAAATCGAAAATAAATAGGCCAATCAGGTCAATATTCGGAAATTATAACATTTTGAGGGAAATTGACATACAAATAAAAAAAATGCAACGATCGAAAGTTCGCACAATTCAAAAGAAAATGTATTCTCCTTTTAATAACACTATGATTTATTCATCAATAAGTTTGAAATTTTTTTTTTTTTTTTGTTATCTTCGTTTCAAACTCACTGCTATACATTCTCCATTTGAACGAGGGGTGCACCTATTCTTCATTGATTGTAATCGTTTCGCATTATCAGCTACTCAAACTGGTACAGTTGATCACCACCAAGATAGAGCATAAGTCTGGAGAGTATTCAAGCTTCGCTCGACACTCACGCCAAAGTTTTAGTTTTTACAGTAGCATTGCCCCTGTGTAGGATCATTTTTGCCGTAATTCGTTGTTTGTCGATTTCTGTCAAGTATTTGAAAAGTGGTTGTGGAACATTTACTTAGATAACTTAATAAGCCATTGAAAAGTTTATGAAAGTATTTAACATTATTCCTCTGCTTTTTAGGGTGCGTGAGTCTTAAGTGCATAATATTTCTTAGGTTAAGTGTTATTGCGCCCATTAGGCACATAAAAAAGTGCGATGGGAAAAGAGAATTTGGTGGGTGATAAAAGCGAAAAGGAAACCAAGAGGTATTTGCGCAACACATGCTCTATACTTATTTGAGTAAAAAATTTCGATTGTATTAAGTCCTTAAAAACCTTAAAAACCTTAAAGTGTTTCGTAATCGTATGCAAGAATTCTGTGGCTTCGTATAAGAAGGTAAATGAATTTATTTTTCCGCAATCTGTTAAATCAAAACTATTTAAGAAGCTCTTTTTAAGGAAAGATTTGATGTAACCAGATATTGTGTGTGTGTGTCTGTGTGTGTGTGTGTGAGGTATATTATCAAATATTCATGTAAAAGGAAAACACAAATACAAGATCATTCCGATTTTAAATGTCCCCAACCGATTTCTTTACCCCGTCAAGCCCTCCATTCGCATAATATTAAGCAAGATTCTTATTAGTCAATGGTCAATACCTTTTCATAAAAAAAAGCTCAGCGTACATAATGTGTAGTTGCCGTCTTCATCAAAAAAAATACTTATATAGATGCTTAGCTCTTTCCTTCTAAAATCAAGTTATTGGACAATGAAGGACAAGCACCAGCAAGAATGGACTTTGAACGGCGGCTGAACTGAATGTAAATCAGCTTAGGCTCCAAGCAGATGACATCAGTGGCCAAAAAGTCTTCAGATCAACTTATAATTTCATGAACTTCTCACCGAAATTTTGTGAGATAATACGTTAGATATTAGGTTGAACTTCTCCCTATGAGATTATTCGAAAGGCAACCATCATGGTATGCAAAGTGTCCAAAATGAAGTTTCAATCAAGTTTTATTGGACAAGGTCAACGAAAATTTTGTAAAACTTTTTGCTATTTCCATAGCTTGCTTTTAAGCGATGTCGGTTAATTCGTCAGTCTGATGCCTGTCCATGCATTCTTGTGCTCGATCTTTTCGAGATATTTCGATGAAATTTGGTACGCTGACTTATTTAGGCTCACGACCGAACGTATACGAACACTGCCCGATCAGTCCATAGTGCTATTTTAGCGCATAATAGCCTTCCATGTATACATTCTGAAAAAAAGGGAAAACACTGTAGTGGAATGCAGCTTCTCATTAAATACCTCACACCACTTTGCTTAATATTCAAACAACGACTTTTCGAAATATGACGCTATATGGGAGATGATTGAAAAAGTGGTCTGTTTCGAACCATATCGTTTGTCCTTCAGTGTATTAAATTTCATCAAAATATTTGGAAAATTGCCATTAGTAGGTTGAACAAAGAATAAAGGACAGACAGACAGACGGAAGAAGAGGATCGGTATAATAACAGATGGGTCTACCTCCGTCCTTATGGGTATTTTGCGTATCCGCGCAAACCTAATATATCCTTGTATCATAATGAGTGTGGGGTATAAAAAGATAAGCCTTCAAATGGCAACAAAATCTACTTTTTGATATTTTTCAATGAAATTTAATTGAAAATTATATGTGAAATCGTATAAATATATTGCGTTAAGTTTGAACAATTATTTTTATGGTTGCCTGCTACATGCACAGGTCGAATTATATATGATTGTCGAAACTATACTCCTGAATATTGTTTTATTCTAACATTTCTCTACATTTAAAAAATTCGGATATCTGGTTGAAAGACACATTCTTAAATAATCCCTTCATGCAGTTTCACTTATTCGTTCAATGTTCTTCTTCGCATAAGTACAAATAGTTGAACATCGTTTGTGTGTTAAACTGGATATTGCAAAATTCTTGTGTTTAAGTTTATAAACGCAATAAAATAATACCATCTCTCATCATGTCTCTGTTATATACAAACCAACAGTCACATCTCTGTCACAATTAGTATCAAAGTAACACAAAATGAAGCACGCCATTAATAGTTGCTGACTGGCCACTATTAAAGCACTTAACATACGTAATAGTCACGGCTTATGACTCTCATTTACTATATAAACACTTGATCAAGTATTGCAATTCACCGCACTGGACACATTAAGGGTCTTCTAGTAAATATTTATTCTCGTATTGTATAATACATGAGCCAACGGTGTGCAGGTTTACAAGAGCAAACCAAGGCATTGAGTGGATCTGTAACAATCAGAGAGCAATGTTTTTCTTATTTATTTATTTATTTATTTATTATTTTTTTTAATTTTTCGATTTGTTTACCTAATCAGACAAAATATTGCATTGAGCGACTCTACGGGGGTGGTATCCATCTCATTCTCATCCATATGAAATTAATATGCATGCATATTCAATGCATAAAAAGTTAGTGAACTCAGTTTAACGTTCAATTTGAACGTGTAATAATTTTTTATTTAAAAGTGATCGGGAAAAGCTTCTTATCATTGTTTCTACTATCTATGTTGTAATTTAAAATAAATTAATCGATCGATTAATCTACGTTCTCGACGATGGCGGCAATTTTGTTAATTGTAAGGTGTGCGTAGTTTACAATGCGACAGAGTTATGAATTGGTGGCGCGTCAACAT